GTGCACAGCGACCTCCTGTGCGTGCGCCAGAAGGCGGGCGGCCAGGCCAAGGACAGGGAGCGCTGCGTGATCAGCTAGGGCTCCCGCTCCCCGAGGCCGACAGCAGGACCAAAGGAAGACCCTGTCGTTTAAAAGTCAAAGCCAGGTCCGGGCCGGCCCTGAGCTTCAAGTGTCCTGGCGTCTTCCCTCCCCAGAGCCCGGCCCACCAACTGGAGGTGAAAACGGAGGAGGGCTGGTCGTCGGCTTTGGAAGGAAAGCGAACTGGGTCACAGGTGGACCCGCCCCCCCACGCCCACTGGCACGCGCCACCAACCCCTGCGCCCTGACTTGGTGGGCACAGGTCCAACAGAGGGTGAACTTGCCCGGTTTCTCAGAGAGACCCAATAGTTGGGAAGGTGTGTGTGGAAGTGAATCAGCCACCGCTCGGCTCCCAGAAGCCGTCCTGCCCGCCGCAGGGTAAAGGGAGACCAGGGCATTCGCCTGTCTGCGATTGGGCTGCCGGCAGCTGGCAAAAGCTTTTGCCCTGAAACAAGTGACTTGTTTACATGTATGTGTGAAACTGCCAAGGAAAAAACTTCGTGAACATGAACAAAACCTTATCCAGTGTTTATACTGTGTGAGACCGTCTGTTATTGTTACTGGTTATTTTACTATAAAATAATTTAAAATGAAAACCATGCTCTTTGCTTTTATAAATGGGCCGAGGGGCAGGGTGAGAGGGAGGAGTGGGCTTCTAGTGGTGGCTGAGGCTCCCTTCCCAGCCCTGGAAAACGCACCAGCGTTCTGAGCAGCCTCAGCGCTCCGGGGGAAGAGGCTCTAGGAAAGTTCCGGATGGCTGGGCGGAAGCCCTTCTATTTGGGGAATGGGTCCTTTGAAATCGAGGCCAAGAAAGGATTTCAAAGTCCTCTCTTGAGATGCACCTGTCTAGCCATTTACCTGCTTAGCTTCCCCGAGACCCAGCCACAAAGGGCCCCTGGGGCTGTGCCCAATTGTCCAATACTCAGGGCAGGCCCCGGGGGACGGAGGTCTGGAGGTGTCACTGGGCCCAGCGTTCACAAGGAGGTGGAGCCCGGCCTGTGTTTGCCCTGGGCAGGGGTCCGGCGCGCTTCGCTGCTGGCTCCTTTCCTCAGGAGCAGAGGCAGCCACTCTCAGCTCAGGACCCCTCTTAACTGTTCGAGCCTGGGGCAGCGACACCTGCCAAGCCCCGAATTCTGTGCCAGGAAAAAACAGAGAATGCCCTTTGCGTGGAGTTGCTGTGAGAATTAAGTGTGATGTTTAAGCCGCTGTGGCTGTTGGTTGGATGTCGTCCCATCCTGTGCACCAAAAGGTCGCTGCTGCAATCTGCGGTCAGGGCCCAGGCCCAGGTTGCGGGCTTGATCCCCGGTGGGGGGGAGGGCCTGCGGGAGGTGGCCCATCCATGTGAGAGCTGAGAGCAGAACATCGATGTTTCTCCCTCTCTCTCAAATTAATTTTTAAAAATCTTTAAAGAAATAAAAAGTGCCAGCCACCCAATAATCCAAATCATGATCCCCGGTGGGGGTGTTCGGCCAGTCAGGGGAATTCGATACTGTCCCGGGGGAGGTACTGCCACCTCGCTCTGGTGAGGGCTGCTCCCTGCCGGGACTGAACCCCTTATGGAATGAGGGGTGGCCTTGGGCCCATCACGGGCGGGCAGGATGACCCTCCAGGCAGCAGGAGTTGCCGCTTCCACACTGTAACGTGTGCTGGGGGGAGGGGTGCGGAGTGGAGGTTACCCCTGTCTTCTCTAAGCAAAGGGAACATATCCAGTGCCCAGGAGACATCCTGTTATGAACTTCTCAGTACAAAAACCAAGATGTCCTGAGAGCAGAGCAAAGTGCTTTTAATGACGCTCCTGACAACCACGACGCCCGGGACGCTGCGCCCCATATGCTCCGTGCTTCATGGTATTTGGTCAGAGCCTTACAGCTGGCCCCACACTGCTCTGAAAGTTCAAGAAAATAACTGATTCAGTTAAAGCAGAGCCCCACCGTAGAAGTCTCACAGGTACTACCCACCTCAGTGCAGAGCCACAGAAACCGGATCCCGCCACAGACCCGCCCCGCCCCGCCCCGCCCTCTCTGGCAGGTGGCTGCAGGGCCCCAGCGAAGCCCTGCTAAAAATATCTCCACCGTCAGCACCTGCCAGCCAGGTCAGCAGCAGGCAGCTGGTAAGCCCAGAATTGTCAGCATAGGTTACGCACTCATTTCTAGATTCAAGTAATATTTGGTTACTAGTCTCACCTTATCCTTTAAGAGGCCAGGGACGCGCATGAAAATAAAACGTCCCACCTGCAGGAAAGTAGGGTGTTTGTAAACATTTCATGAACCAGAACTTAGCTGCTGAACTTTGGGTTTAGAGCGCCCCACCCTTCAGAACTGTACCTGGCCCAGGGACGGTCACATCTGTCACCGAGCCGCCCTTCTGAACAAAAAGTCCATCATGACCTGCCTGCAGCTCAGTAATGTTCGTGCTGGCTTTAGCAAGGCCAGAGAGAGAAATAAACTTTTAAACCAAGACCACGAAATCTGAGAGGCTGGAAGAGGCCGGCTGTTTGCCGGAAGCCCGCCTGTGCCTGCGTAGAAGCGACACTCGCCCCAGCCCCAGGTCTGAAGTGGTTTGGCCACTCTTGGGCATTAAATGGCTAAACGAGATGCCCGCAGATGACAGGAGACAAAGGGAGCAAGAGCTGAAAGTGAAAAGAGCATGTAGGTGGCAGAGAACCTGACAAGGGGCCACCGGCAGGCAGCTGGCCGACCCCCCACGGACAGTTACACTCACTGGCTCAAACATAAAAGGAAAGAGTTTCAGGAGAAAACGTCTTTTAAAACTGCTTTCTCCCAGCCTTCCTTCACCATGTTAAGCCCACGCCACACGAGCCCAGGCCTCATCTGTCCCGTGAACTTTGTGCAAAGGCGACACAGCACTGCTGTTAACAGAATGCTGTGGCCCTGGCACACACTGATCATGTCTCGGGGGAAGAGAGAGGGAGGCAGGAAGCAAAGCGGAGGTGGCCCCTCCCCAGAGGCAGGGCAGGACCCTCTTCTTCCCACCGGCAGGCACTCCAGCTGTTACGCATTGAGACACGCGGGCACATGGAAGGAAGCCCCAGCCACTCCGAGCTCCAGGCCACCCCTCCCACAGTCAACGTCAAGTTCAGCTGAGGAAGCAGCACAATAGCCTTCCCGCCACTCGGCTATAACGTTCAGAGCTGGGGTCCAAAGAACCACACTTCATAAGGAACCAATCCGGGCCACTTGCTCTCCCATGCTTTCTTGGGCATCCTGGATGCGGCGGCCTCATCTACTCCTTGGGGATCTCAAACATGCAGAGGCTCTTGTACTTCTGCAGAAGTTCGTTCTTGGTCCTGACTTGCTCCCGGAGGCTGTGCAGCTGTTGCTGCTGCTGCTCGGGGCTCAGGTGGATGCCGGGCATGGTGCTGATGACCTTGCGTATCTCCTGGAACTTGGTCTTGAGGGCGTTGAGGTCATGGTGGATGTCCGGGCTGTCCTTGTCCATGCTGCAGGGTCAGAGGGTAGATATTAACACTCGCAGCTAAGGCTGAGACACCCGGCTCCCTCCTCTGCACCCCACAGGCCTTGTAGACGCCTGGTTTCTGCCTGTCCCCCTCCTGGGCTGTGCACCAGAGGGCAGGGCCTGGCTCTCTCATGCAGCCTTAAGGGGAGCCTGTGACCGCTGCTCAGGAAAAGCCCCAGTGCCGAGAGCGCCTGTGCACCCCTCCCATAGCACGTGCGCAAAATTAGATGCTTAATGTCTGTCAGCTACGAGGGAGGACTGTCCACCTCATTCCCAGCTGCATCCCGTGCCAGGGCCAGTCCCTGAGCACTTGGGCACTCAAGTAACATCTGTTCAAAGAACGAATGCTTGGCAAATAAGTTCATAAGTGTCTGCTGAACAAATGAACAAACCATTACCAATATCAGGTGACACACTGCAAGAAAAATTTGCTGAAATGTTATATTTCTTCTCATTTCAGCCATTTCCAGGCCTATCGGGAGACTGTCAGCCACTTTTAGCAGACGGTTGGATACTTGAATCTATTAACATAAAGACTAATTCCCACAGAGTTATTAATAGTATTTAAATTAGAAACTATTGGAAATGTTTCAGAAGGTACAGCTCTCTACCAGTTATATAAACTCCGTGCCTTCAGGTCCAGCTCATTTTAAAGGCAGGAGCCTCCACTTCATCTCACAGCTCTTAGCAGCTGCCCAGAAATCCAGGCCCCCTGTCTCCACTAACTTCAAAACAAACAAGAACAAAAACCTTCACCTAAGATCAAAGAAACAGCCTAACAGTTGCTCCTATACACCATATATATATACCATATATACACCATATATACATAAGTGTGTGTGTGTGTGTGTGTGTGTGTGTATTTTTGCCCTAACTGGTTTGGCTCAGTGGATAGAGCGCCGTCGGCATGCTGACTGAAGGGTCCCGGTTTCAATTCTGGCCAAGGGCACATGCCCAGGTTGTGGGCTCGATCCCCAGTGGGGAGCGTGCAGGAGGCAGCCAATCAATGATTCTCTCTCATCATTGATGTTTCTCTCTCTCTTCCTTTCTGTGCCCTGACGGGAATTGAACCATGACCTCCTGGTTCATAGGTCAGTGCTCAACCACTGAGCCACGCTAGGCAGGCTTTACTATTATTTTCTTAATGTGTTACCTCCTGGATCATTTGAGAGAGAGAGAAAGGGAGAGGGAGAAAGAAAGAGAGAGAGAGCAAGCGAGAGAGAAACATCAATCAGCTGTCTCCATACACATCCTGACCAAGGATCAAACCGCAACCTGGGTCTGTGCTCTGACAAGAACTGAACCAGTGACCTTTTGGTGCCCTGGATAAGCTTTTGAAAACAAGCAGTTGAAACTAAAAACTAAAATCCAATTCAGTAGGTGGTTCTAAACATCATCCTCCATTGAGGCATAAGAGGGGAAAACTGTCAATGATTTTTTAAAAATATTTTTATTGATTTTAGAGCAGAAGGGAGAGGAAGGGGGGTAGAAACATCAATGATGAGAGAATCATTGATTGGCTGCCTCCTACACATCCCCTACTGGGCATTGAGACTGCAACTCAGGCCTGTGCCCTGATTAGGAATCGAACCGAGACTTCCTGGTTCACAGGTCGATGCTCAACCACTGAGCCACAACTTAAAAAAAAAAAAAAAGTTTTGTGGGTTTAAAAAAAAAAAAAGCTGAGCCAATGATCTGTTTTAAAAATAAAAATAAATGTTCAACCCTAGTGGGAAATTTCAACCCAGATGGTGCTAATTCATATTTACTACTCGTTTCTCTGCTTATGCAGACACAATATCCACCTTTCCCGGTGACCCATCAGGCACAGCTCACACCTGGCGGATGTATCAGTAGCTCTAACTCAGAGACCAGATGTGCAGAATCAATCATTTATCCTAAGAAATGAAGGGCCACCCCTTTCTTGTCAGCTGAGGCCCTCGATGTAGCTGTGCTCAGTTAGTGGTGTGCCTCCCTCCTCCGTTTCTGGGAGGGGACCCGTAGGCTGTAAGTCGTCTGGAAAGAACCAGGTCCCAGCTCCGATCCACAATCTGGACAGAAAGCACCTGGACCTCTGAACTCATGATACTTGAATGGCATATGTGCTAACACATTGTTATGGATTTAAGTTCCAAGTGAGTTTTGAAATTATAGTTTTAAGAAAACGGATTAACCTCACATGAATCTGAAAGGACATCGTAAAAACAAACAAAAATACATAAAATAAAAATTTGGAAGGAAGTTATGACAATCCAGTTCTGGAAGCCAACATTACCTGGCCCCAAAGAATTTTTAATTCTGAAAATAAAACGTAGACCATGTTTAAGATGCTCATTTCTGAAAAAACCCTAAATCTCCAGGGTTGCCCATTCTTTACCTGGTGAACTTTCAGTAAAGGAGACACCCTTTACATCAGCAGTCGCCAACCTTTCGGACTTCACAGATCACCAGGGGTCCGGGGACCACCGGTTGCAACCACTGCTTTAGACAGCAAAGGAGGAGCCACACGAAAAGCCACCTGGACCCACAGAGGAAAGACCACGTGAGGACAGGGAGAGGACCGGCACCTGCAAGCCAAGCAGAGGCCTCAGAAGAAGCAACCTGCCTACCCACACCTCGACTTCAGGTTTCTGGCCTCCACAACCGTGAGAAATTTCTGCTGTTTAAGTCAGCAACAAAAGCCCACCTGGGGGAGCTGAGCAGAGGACCACCCAGACCACAGCGAGGCCCTCTGCAAGCGCCTGGGCCTGCCCTAGTTGTGGAGTAAACAGCATGGAACTCCTATTGAAACACTCTATTCAGGAACTGGCTCAACCAAGAGGGAACCTGCTAGGCCAGGGTGACTGTGAAAGACTCAAGCCAAAAGAACAGCATCAGGCCCAAACACTGCGTGAACAGAAGCAGAAAGCCCCACACGGTCTGCCTTTGTGTACAGCGTGAGTCATCATCTAACTTTAGGAAGAAAGAAGGAGACTGGGCCAGGCTGAGAGACACACAAATCATACAAAGAGCAAGGTTAGGGCACTTTGGTCCCGCCCACTGTAGTTTTCAGGTGGACAAATGCCCTGGATGGTGTGGCTCAGCTGGTTGAGAGTCGTGCCATGCACCAAGAGGTCACAGTTCAATTCCCAGTCAGGGCACATGCCCGGGTTGCGGGCTTGATCCCCAGTAGGGGGCATGCAGGAGGCAACCTATCGATGTTTCTCCCTTTCTTAAAATTTTTTTTTTAAATGGACAAAAACATTACTTCTCTACCTTAACAGAAAGGCCACTTCCTGACAGTCTTTTGTGCACATCTGGGTGATGCTTAGCATGATTCCAGCAGTGGACACAGACACTGTGTTGTGTCACCAGACGTAGGGGCAAGCATCACAGTGCAGGTGGTGAGTTAGCACGATGATGAGTACAGGTGCTAGTAAGTAGGGCACAGCTTTGGGGCTTGAAAATACAAACTGAGCAATAGTGTGCCCACTGGTAGCTTAGAAGTTCAAGGAACCCAGATCACGAAAGCAACCTCCTCCCAAACCTAGCACCACTGCTTGTGACCTCTAGGTGGCATCTGACTGCTTTCCATTTCTTTCTCCTCAAAATCTCATCCCCTTCAGCCTCGTGCCCCAGTGGCCTCGCTGCCCCATCCTGGGACCAGTCCTTCTCACCCTCTCCTCCTCCCACACTAACATCTTTCTAAACCAGTGTTTGCTTTTGTTGTTGCTGTTTATGACAGTAATAGGTGTTTGAAGGGGAAAGTTAAAACGACAGGCACCCAGGCTTAGAAAAGTCCCTAGTACCACGTCCCGGAGATCATGTCTGTTAACTGGCATATGCTTTTTCAGATTGCATCAAAATATATAGCAACATACAAATACACACTTAATTTTTATTTGTTTTGACCATACTACACACATGGTCTTATTCTTTTTTTTAAATATATTTTTTATTGATTCTTTAGAGAGGAAGGGAGAGGGATAGAGAGTTAGAAACATCGATAAGAGAGAAACATCAATCAGCTGCCTCCCGCACACCCCCTACTGGGGATGTGCCCACAACCAAGGTACATGCCCTTGACCGGAATCGAACCTGGGACCCTTCAGTCTGCAGGCCGACGCTCTATCTACTGAGCCAAACCGGTTAGGGTTTATTATTATTATTACTTTTTTTTACATGTATTTTTATTGATTTCAGAGAGGAAGGGAGAAGAGAGAGAGAGAAACATTAATGATGAGAAAGAATCATTGACTGGCTGCCTCCTGCACGCCCCCTACTGGGGATTGAGCCTGCAACCCAGGCATGTGCCCTTGACCAGAATCAAACCATGACCTACTGGTTCATAGATCAATGCTCAACCTCTGAGCCACACCAGCAGGGCACACGGTCTTATTCTTGCCTTTTCCCCTGAACAATGCATCCTGGATGTCTTTTCATGTTAACACATATACAATTAGCTAAATGACTTGGCTGTTGATGGGTGTTTGGATGTTTGCAATTTATCACTTGCAATCAGAGTGACAACCAACATTTTATACATCTATATCTCAGTGGTTCTCAACCTTCCTAATGTCGAGACCCTTTAATACAGCTCCTCATGTTGTGGTGACCCCCAACCATAAAATTTTTTTCGTTGCTACTTCATCACTGTAATTTTGCTACTGTTATGAATCGTCATGTAAATATCTGATATGCAGGATGTCTTTTCATTGTTACAAATTGAACATAATCAAAGCATAGTGATTAATCACAAAAACAATATGTAATTATATATGTGTTTTCTGATGGTCTTAAGCGACCCCTGTGAAAGGGTCGTTTGACCCCCAAAGGGGTCGCGACCCACAGGTTGAGAACCGCTGCTCTGATTGTACTTGTGCAAGTACTTTGATAAGTTCCCAGAAGTGTGATTTCTGGGTCAAAGGTTACATATATTACAAAGTTGGGCAGATTACCAAAGGTACACTCCTGGAGTCCGGGGCTCCTCACACCCTGGAGAGC